ATAGAGCCTGGTGGAACCACTGAGACTATGGCCCCTACCCACACCTGTGGTTTCTAGCCAAACAAAATACAGGCATATGAGTTAAACATTTACCTCAAGTAGATACACTCCTTGGAGGTAACAATCATGGGAGAAAAGGCTGCTTATGCACAGGAAGACAGCTCAAGAGGCAGGAGTGTATGGAGGGATGGACACTGGGAAGTTGTGACCATAGGGAGGAAGTGGGAAGGGAGCTGTTGCATTGTGGTAAACTGTGTGTGGTCAATGTCATGAGACAAAGTGTATGTGAACTGCTGTATGGAAAGTGAATTTGCTCTGTAAATCTTCACCCAAATCCCCCCCCAAAAAAATGGTTGCAGCAATATATTGACAGAGAACTGCCAGAATTACAAGCTGGATTCAGAAAAGGACATTGAATGAGGGATATCATTGCTGATGTTGGACAGCTTTTGGCTGAAATCAAAGAATACTAGAAAGATGTTTACCTATGTTTTATTGACAATGCAAAGGCATTCAACTGTGTGGATCATAACAAAATAAGGATAACATTGAGAAGAATGGGAATTCCAGCACTTAATTGTGCTCATGAGGAACCTGTACATAGACCAAGAAGCTGTCATTCGAACAGAACAAGGGGGTACTTCATGGTTTCAAATTAGTAAGGGTATATGTTAGGGTTGTGCTCATCATACTTATTCAGTCTGTACGCTGAGCAAATAATCTGAGAAGCTGGATTATATGAAGAAGAAAGTGGTGTCAGGATTGGAGTAAGACTCATTAACAACTCATGATATGCAGATGACACACTTTCCTTGCTGAAAGTGAAGATGACTTGAAACACTTACTGATGAAGATCAAAGACTTTAGTCTTCAGTATGGATTATACTTCAACATAAAGAAAAAAAAAATCTTCACAACTGGACCAATAAGCAACATCATGTAATGCAGAACATATTGTCAATGATTTCATTTTACTTGGATCCACAATCAACACCCATGTAAGAAGATGTCAAGAAATCAGATGTCATATTGCACTGGGCAAATCTGCTGTAAAAGACCTCTTTAAAGTGCTAAAAAGCAGAGATGTCACTTTGAAGACTAAGGTTCACCTGACCCAAACCATGGTATTTTCAATCACCTCATATGCATGTGAAAGTTGAACAATGAAAAAAGAAGACCCGAGAAGAGTTGATGCATATGAATTGTGGTACTGGTGAAGAATTTGAAAATACCATGGACTGCCAGAAGAATGAGTAAATCTATCCTGGAAGAAGTGCAGCCAGAATGCTCCTTAAAAGCCAGAATGGGCAGATTTCATCTCATCTACTTTGGTTATGTTGTCAGAAGAGACCAATCCAGGTCTGACAGAGACTGGTGAAACACCTGAGACTATGGCCTCTAGTCACCCTTTGGGCCTGGAATTGGACTCACTCCTGTGGTTTCTAGCCAAAAAATAGACAGGCATATAGGGTGAACATTTACAGCAAGTAGGTATACTCCTTAGAACAGTCAACCCTGGGAGATCAGAAGAGCAGTACTTGCACAGCGAAATAGTTCAGAAGGCAGGAATGCGTGGAAAAGAAGGACACTGGGAAGAGGTAGCCACAGAGAGGAACTGGGAAGAGCGATGTTATGTTATAGGGATTGCAATCCATGTCATGAAACAAAATGTGTATGAACAGTTGTATATCAAATGAATTTGCTCTGTAAACTTTCGCCCAGATCACAAATTCAGAAAGAAAAGAAGGGACCAGTCCCTGGAGAAGGATATGGATATCATGCTCTGCAAAGTAGAGGGTCAGGGAAAAAAAGGAAGTCCCTCACAGATGGATTGACACAGCAGCTGTAGTGATGGGCTCAAGCATAGCAAAGATTGTGAGGCCTGCTCAGGACCTGGCAGTACTTTTTGTTCTGTTGTAGGTAGGGTCACTAGGAGTTGGAATTGACTCAACGGCACCTAACAACAACTATCTGTAGCATGGATTGTAGTGGAGGTAGGGAGACCAGATAGAAGTTGTTGGAACTCATGTTCATTGTCAGGCTTTAAGACCCAGCTCAAGTGCCACCTGTTCCTTCCAAATCTTTAGGCAGAGCTAGTGTCTTTTTCCTAAATATACCATGTTCTGTTAGCAGGTATACATGATTTATACATGTATACAGGTGTACAGCATTTATACATGTATACAGGTATACAGCATTTATACATGACCATTTATGTGTATTTCTTTCCCAGTAGACTGTGAGGTCCTTCAGGGCAGCCTCCATTCCTATGCTTCCATGTTCACTCTTCCGGAGGGGAAATGGGATATAGGAAGAGCTCTTGCTCTGTGGGTACAGGCTGTCCTTCCAGCTAACAGGGAGCTCTCCGTTGGATTTATGTTTGGCTGTCTAAGTGTTTATGGATGTTTGAAGCTGGGATAAAAGGGTTTCTATTCATGCTGCTAGATTCTGAGACTTTTCTTTCTTTCTTTCTTTTTCTTTTTTTTAGAGCCCACAGCAAAACTTTGGTTATGACTGGAGAAAGGAATGTAGTATGAGGAGCAACATTTCATCTTCTTGCTCTCAGCCGGAAGGCAAACTGGGAGCAGGAGTGGGGCGGGGGCGAGCTCAGGAGCTCCTCATCCCGGGACCAGGCCAGGAGCACCTGGGGGTATCAGAGGAAATTCTGGAGGGCCGGGCAGGCTTCAGCTTTTGATACACCACCACCCTGCGTTTTACAAGCGAGGGCAGAAATTCCGAGAGAAGCAAAGGGCGGCTGGGTCACCAGTCTTCCACTTTAGCCCACCCAGACAAGGCGTCTTGTGGCTCAGGGCAAGGGGAGGGCTGGTGACCACCGCGGGCCGGAGCTCGGGCCGCTGCGCAGCTGGCCGGCTCTCCCCAGACATTCCGTTTCTGCCACTGGAATCCGCGGACAGAGCTCCTTGTTGGCCTTGGGCGGGGTTCCCTGGGCTGAGCCTGGTAGTGATCACCCCGCCCCGACTCCTGCCCTCGAGTCCCTCTGTGGGGCGGGGCGGGGCCTAGGACCGCGGCACCTTTAAATGGACCGCCTCTGCACTGGGCACAGCTCCCTGACTGACTGAACGATTGACCCACGACCCGACGGATAGACACACAGGCAGGACCGCCGAGCCCATCATGCCGTTCCTAGTTCACCACTTTCCGGGACTACTTCTGCTGCTCTTAGCCCTGCTGCTGCTGCCGCCCCCCACAGCCTCCAGCTCCCTGGCCCGCCGTGCTCCCGCGGCCCTTCCTGGGTTCCGAAGGCTGGGGACTCGCGTCCCAGCGGGCAGCCCTGGGCGCCGCCCTGCTCCCACCGGCGCGCCTTACTCGGGAGCTAGTGAGCCCGGCGAGGCCCGCAGCGCAGGTACAGCTGTGGGGCGGGCAAAAAGAGGAGGGATCGGAAGGAGGCAACATGGAGGGAATCCCAGCATGAGAAAGGGAGGGAGATCTGGGCTGAGGCTGGGCTGGGCAGGAGGATCTGGGCATCCAACAAGGAGGAAGACCCTAGATCATCCACCAAGGATTCGTCACAGCTTAGTCTGAGCTAGATGGTGGTGCGAGAAAGAATCCTGTGGGGAAACTGAGCTCCAAAGAAGGAAAGAGAGATGCCCAAGATCACTAAAGTGTCAGGGCTAGAATTGGGCTCTTTCCAACTTCAAACTCTAGCAACTTCTCCCTGAGATTCGGGCAGGGAGAATAGGTCAGTTGTGGGAACAATGGCCTACCTCCAGCTCGACCCAGATTAACAAACCCTTCCTGAGACTATTCTTTTAGTTTTCTTGAAATTCCACCATCTATATTCCCCCAGATCAATGTATTCTTCCTCCCCTCCTCACAGGGATCTAGCGGCCCTCCAGTAAAGAGTTCAGATTGGAAGGAAGGGTGGGAGGTGGGAGCCTGTGAAGGAACTTTGAGGAGCACTGGATACACAGGGCCTGTCTTGTCACCATCCTTGTCTTAATCCTCTTCTCTTGTCCCTGCAAGACGTTCTGCTTGAACTGACTGGGTATCTCATCTAACCTGAGCTCTTGTAGATCCTCAAAGACTCAAATTTGGGTCTTTGGCAAACAATTCCACATTTTGCTCAGTGACTCCTGAGGCAGAGAAAAACTCCTTGAGCAGCAGAGCTGAAAGGTCATCTGAGCCACCCCAACAGCATGCATAGGTAAAAAAGGAGACTTATCAAAGTGAAAAACCTACTGCCATGGAGTCAATTCTGACTCATTGCAGCCCTATAGGAAAGAGTAGAAATGCTTGGTAGGGTTTCCAAGGCCTTACATCTTTATGGAAGCAGACTGCCTCATCTTTTCCAATGTAGCAGGAGCAGCTGGTGGGTTCAAAACCCCAACCTTTTTGTGGTCAGCTGCATGCTTTTAAGCACCGAGCCACCAAAATGAAGGGCCCAACAAATTAGTGTCAGAGCCCAGAGTAAAACAGAGCTCTGAAATCCCAAGAAAGGGCTTTTTTTTTTTTTTTTTTTTCAACTTTCCCAAATTACCAAGCTCTTAATATATAGTTTATTTACATTTTTCATTAGCAAAAGTCCAGCTTCAGTTTGCTAATGATACCCTACATCAAATCATCTTCTGGGTTTCCAGTGTCATCTGTCCAGAGATGCTTCATGCCTCAGGCTGATTTACATTTTCTATCACCTCCTGCCCCTTCCTGGATAATGTGGAAGGAGCTCTTTTCCACACTAGCCCAGTGTACTTGATTTGATATGGCAACAGCCTTTCCACTGAGGTTGGGAATTACCAGGTCCACAAGGATTTACATCAGGAATAGGGCAGAAAGAGGGACATAGACTTTGTTCTGGAAGTTAACATTACCTCTGGTCCTTGGGAAATGGAACTTGGAGAGGGAGGAGGGATTCTGCATTAATTCATTGGCCATGTTTATGGCTTCCCATAAACTGCACCGGTTCTGCATTCCCTGTGATCCAAACCTGATCTGGAAAGAGAATTCTTTAATAAACACCACTTCAGCCTTTTCCAAATTCTCTCCTTTTAGCCACCAGAAATTGCTAAACTTTATTATGGGATTTTATTTCTAGCAGGAGTATCAGGAGTTGGCAATATTGTGAATATGAAAACATTTAGGAAATTCAGATTCTCACTTTCTTTGCTCCTGAGAATTAATTTGCTGCTCTCTAATAAATGGGAGTAAAGGTAAAAAATAAAAATAAAAAATTAATGACGAGTGCCAAAGGGATACAAATCAGGTAGGAGATCATCACAGGATTTCCTACTACCCCAGCCAAGCTTCTGTATTAGTAACCTATTGCTGCTGTAACAAATCACTTAAAAATTAGTGGCTGAAAACAACACATGCTAATGACAGAGGTCTCATTGTGCTGAAATCAACATGTCAGCAGGGTCATGTTCCTTTTTGGAGGCTGTAGGGGAGAATGCTCTTTCAAGCTATGGGGTAGTTCTGCTCTGTCTTATAGGGTCACTATGAGTCAGAATTGACTCAGTAGCAGTGGATTTTTTTTTGGTTTTTAGAGGCTGCCAACATTCCTTGGCTATTGGCCTTCCTCCTCCATCTTCAAAGTCCACAAAGGCTGGTGGGTCCTTCTCATATCTCATCACTCAGCCCTCCTCTTCTGCTCCCCCATTCCAGTTTGCAATAATGTTGAACCCATTCAAATAATCCAGGATATCTCCCCATCTCAAAGTCTTGAATCACACTTTCCAAGTCTCTTTTGTGGTGCAAAGTAATATATACACAGGCTCTAGGATGTCACCATCTTTGGGGGCTATCATTCTATCTACCAAGGAGCTGTGGTGTCATGCTGCCTAAGGCATTTGACTGCTAACCAGATGTTTGGTAGTTCAAACTCACCAGCTGCTCTGTGGAAGGAAGATGGGGCAATCTACTTCTGTAAAGATTTACCATCTCAGAAACCCAAAGTGGGTCACCATGAGTGGGAATTGACCTAATGGCAGTGAGTTTGGTTTTATTCTATCTACCGTATTCCCTGTAAGTACCCCCCTCTTAGAGAATTCAGTGTGAAAAAAAAGGGAAGAATGAAGAAATCATCCATGTTTATTTATTTTTTTAAAATTTTAATTGTGATTTGGGTGAAAGTTTACAGAGCAAAATGCATCTTCCATACAGCAGTTTACATACACTTTGTCTCATGACATTGACTGCAATCTCTCACAATGCAACAGCTCTCCTCCCACTTCCTCCCCATAGCCACCTCTTCTCTGTGTACATGTTTAATTTTTAAGAATGTAATTATGATATTTTAAGGACACTGTTCGGGTATATGTGAAAGCATTGTCAATTATAGGGTTCATATCATCATGAATTTATCCATTTACTCCAGTTATGCAAAAATACCTAAATCCATCTCCAGGAAGAATTTTTGGCATAGTTCTTCCTCCTGCTTTCTGATCCATGGTAATATCAAAGGACGAAGTAAAATATTGTAGTTGTTTTTAAAAATACTTTTGACTCCTTTTGACTTAATACATGATATCCAGTTTATGTCAGGGTGGTGGCTCAAAGTCAACAAGCAGGATGTTTACTAGGTACATGAGACAATACGTTATTTTTTGGTGGAAAATGTTGCCTCAGAGAAGGCAACTGTGGTGTAGTGGAAAGCTCTCTAGTTTGGGACTCAGGAAACCAGAAGTCCAATCCATATTCTACTACTTTCTACCTATTACATCTCCCTGAACCTTAAGTTTCTCACCTTTAAAATGGGCATAAAATCAACCTCTGCACCTCCAGCTTCACAGGTTAGTAGAATTGGTGCCCTATGATCCCTAAAATGTCATTTGAAATAGGATACATTTAGTTTCTTACTTGAATACTTGAAGGCAGCAGGACAAAGAGGAGAATTTTGAGCTTTTAAAAGAAAATATATAGAGAGATAATCCTTTCTATGACAGGGATTTTTCCTGTCATAAACTGTTTAGCGTAGGAGTTTCTTTTGAATCTATATATTCCCCACCCAACTATACACTGAGTAAATTGTCTTTTTAGAGTAACACCAACTTCCTGCCCACTATTAGAATTTAGCCATAACTGACACTTCATCATTTAAGGACCTCATTTGCATTTAAGGTTTTTTTTTTTTTTTTTTTTGTGTGTGTGTTGGGAGGTAAGGGGGGATGGTTTGAAAAATAAGCCTAATAACTAACTGGGTTCTCTCTTAGTCAGTCCTAACTTTCAAACTTGATTTTGGTGGCTAGGAGAGGGGGTAAGCAGAATGGAGTTGGATGAAACAGGGTAAGAAAGAATAGATGAAAACTAAAATGTATTATGCTATAACAATGTGCTACAATCCCTGTAACTTTGTGTAGGAAAGATTTAAATACCTTGAGTGCCTTGAGGGCAGGCAATCCTTATTGTTTGCTTTGTAGTTCGAGGACTTACACAGGGTTAAACCAGTAAACCAGCTGCTGTAGAGTTGATTGAGACTCATGGTACCCCATGTGTGTCAGAGTAAAACCATGCTCCATAGGGTTTTCAAAGTCTGATTTTGTGGGGAGTAGATCACCAGACTTTTCTTCCAAGGCACCCCTGGATGAACACGAGCCTCAAACCTTTTGGGTTTTGTACCACCTAAGGACTCCTAATATACGTTAGGCCCTCCAAATGGGGGCATTGGTGATTCAGTGGTGGAATTCTTGCCTTCCATGCAGGGGACCTGTTTTTATTCCTGAGTGTACCTCATATATATGGCCACCACCTGTCTGCCAGTGGTGGTTTGCATGTTGCTGTGATTCTTAACAAGTTTCAGTGGAACTTCCAGACCAGGAAGAAAAGCCTGGCAGATTACTCCTGAAAATTCAGCCAGTGAAAACTCTGTGGATCACAGTGGTCTGATCTGTAGCTGATCATGGAGATGGTGCAGGACGGGGCAGCATTTTGTTCTGATGTGCATTGGGTTGCCACGAGTGGGGGCTGACCCAAAGGCAGTTAAAAACAGCAACAAACCCTTGAAAAATATTTGGTGAGTGAAGAAAAGAAAGAGAGATGACCAAGAGAGTTTGATGGGGCATAGATATCAGGTTACACTCTCTGCTTTTGTGAACAAGACTGACTTACAGAGTTGGAAGTGGAATAAACATCTGTCAGATCAAGCTGTGCATCCCTCTCTCCCAAGAACCTAGCTCAGGGCTAGTTGGGTCCAGAAGTTCATGAAACATGAAAGGATGACAAGATGGAGGGAACATAAAGGCTATTCTGGAGTAGTTTTCACTCCCTTTGAAGGGCAGTAAAAGAAGGAAGTTGCTAGAAGAGCATCAGAGTGCCTTGCTTCAAACTCTGCCTGAGGGGCCTGAGAAGACCTGGGCAGGGTGGTCTGAAGTGAGATTGGTCCTCGGAGTCCAGTGCCTCTTATACTATTCAGGCACATTTTGTCACATTGCCCCAGATGGCCAAGCTGTCCAAGACAGATCCGGAATACATTCATTCTTATAGGAATCAAGAGGAACCTTGGAAGCCAAACCTTAAAAGAATGATAAGGTTTTTAGTGAAATTTCAGGGTTCAGCCAGCCCATAAGGAAAGTATTTTCTGGAAATTTCATACCTCTATTTGAATTCTTGCCAGGGAATTCTGAAAGCTTTAGTACTTTCAATACTCTAAGGAGGATGATCTTAGGGACAATGTCAGGCAGTGGGTTGCTGAGGTTAGACGATTGTTTTGTTTCTGCTGTGATCTGATCATTGCTTAGTCTTTTCTGCTCCCCACACTTTTCTTTGCAGGTGTTTGCAAGAGCAGGCCCTTGGACTTGGTGTTTATTATCGATAGTTCTCGTAGTGTCCGGCCACTGGAATTCACCAAAGTGAAAACTTTCGTTTCCAAAATAATTGACACTCTGGACATTGGGGAAGCAGACACGCGGGTGGCATTGGTGAACTATGCTAGCACTGTGAAGATTGAGTTCAATCTCCAGACATACTCAGATAAGCAGTCCCTGAAACAGGCCGTGGCTCGAATCACACCTTTATCAACAGGCACCATGTCGGGCCTGGCCATCCAGACAGCAATGGATGAAGCCTTCACAGTGGAGGCAGGAGCTCAGGGGTCCCCTTCCAACATCCCTAAAGTGGCCATCATTGTGACAGATGGGAGGCCCCAGGACCAAGTAAATGAGGTGGCAGCTCGGGCTCGGGCATCTGGTATTGAGCTCTATGCTGTGGGAGTGGACCGGGCAGATGTGGAGTCCCTTAAGATGATTGCCAGTGAACCCCTAAGTGATCATGTTTTTTATGTGGAGACCTATGGGGTCATTGAGAAACTTTCCTCGAGATTCCAGGAAACTTTTTGTGGTAAGTCTGTGCTTTCAACAAGAAAGGATGTTATAGTCAGACATTGTGTATCCATAGAAAAAGAGATCTATTTATTAATTTATTTTGTTTTGGTGGGAATTTTATGGAAAAGTTAAAAAATAAGCAGTGTTTATTTTTTTTTGTGTGTGTTTTTACCAACTTAAACACATTTTGTTGGCTTAGGAATATAAAGTTGCATTATATATAACTTGGTTTGCTCATAAAAGCTTCATGTTTGCATTAGAGACATGTAAGTCTAGAAATATCCAGGATAAATGCTCCTGCTGTTCCCTAACAAGGTTAGAGAAAACACACACACACACACACACACACACACACACACACACACATACTCAAGACACCTCTCTTTTCCCCCTGCTCTACCACTACATTTTTTTCCAGATTTTTTTTCTTTAGCTTTACCATCTCTAGATTCGACAGAACTCTGCTTGTTCTCTTACAGAAAACAGAGAATGATGACTGCCCATGAAGAGTCATCTTGTCCATATTCCAGTGTAACTGTCAGTATGCAAACACATTTAATGCATAATCTTTTTTTCAGACTCTGTTCTTTCTCTGACTATCCTCTGGGGAGGGACAGAATTAGGGACTAGGGAGTTGGGGTTTCAGCTCACTTGAGAGAAAGCAAAAAAAGATATTAAAAAAATAATTTTGTTACTCTCTTATTTCTTCCTTTAGGATGGAATTTGAATGTGCACATGTTAATTAATTTTTACCATTAACTAGCCAATTTATTAATATTAACCCATTCAAGTCTAGGATTTATTTTTAGTCGCTCTCTAAAATTATGAATTTTTGGAATGCATACTTTCTTTTTATCATTTCTAGCTCAGGTGAATTTTACACTTGATTTTAGCCAAAGATAAAATAATCCCTTCTTGTCATCAAGACTGAGGGTGAGGGATGAAACAAACAAGTGAACAAATAATTAAAATTGTGAATTTCAAGGAGACTTTGCATCTAAATTAATGCGAAACCTAGCAATCACTGGTTTGTCAGGAAATGGAATATGAAGTCTTGGCCTCAGGCAAAGCCTGGTCTCATCTTACCCAGACCTGCCCCTGGATCCCCCTTGTCTTTCCTGTCTCAGCACGCTGGACCTTCATAAGCCTTCTTTGGTTTGGTGGCATCTAATTGGAATTCATTGGCTTCCTCAAAAGAAAATGGCTTTCTTTCTCCCAGGAAAGCTCCCTGGCTTGTGAGTGAGAGCTTTTCCATCAAGATGCTGTTCTGCAGCAAAACTGGGTCAAAGTTAGCACCTGGGGTTGGGCCTGAAGGCCATCAAGTAACAAGTGGTGAGTGGCAATCTTTTCCTTCAGCAACAAAAGGTCTGCTTGTTCTGGGGGAAAAGTGTTCTCTGTATGGAAAAAATACTGAGGGGCAGCTTGTTGTAGTCAACAGGTTGGAAAGATCATTCCATGAAAAAGCCCTTCTTGGGAAAATATTAGCCTTGTTCTATGGCCAAGGGCAATGGGGGCTGAGTTACCTGCTATGAAAGTGCCAGCCTCCTCCAACAGGCCTCCCTGGTTTCTCAGAAATGACTAAATTAATTGATTCATTTTTCAAAACAAGTCACTAAAAAAAAAAAAAAAAAAAAAAAATCCAATGAGGTATAATTGGGTCTAGGAGTGAAAACATGGAGATACAGTTTAGCTAATGTAACCTCATTACATTTTTTGTTCTCTTGTCCTTTTATTTTTACTTGTGTTTAGTTTATGAGTTCATTCTCCTTGGGGACATTAGACTCAGTAGTTGCATATGTATATATTTGGATTGAAGAACCTATGCTGTGTATCTATAAGGCATTACCCTCCAACAGTTGGATGTATCACTATTCAACTATGAGTAAGGGTCAGGCTCAGAGGAATGCCTGTGTGTTAATTCTGCTTAAACGCAGACCAGATTCTTACTGCAGTGGGACAACTAGCTCCTAGAGCTTCAGGAAGTATACTATTTTCATCTCTTGTGGTTGGGAATCAAAAATAATTTTCATTGGCTGTCTGACCCATGGGAGCTCTGGTAGCATAGTGCCTAAGGCATTTAGACTGCTAAGCAGAAGCCTGGCGGTTCAAACCCACCAGCCACCCTTCGGAAGGAAGACCGGGCAATCTACTTCCCTAGAGATACCACCTTGGAAACCCAAGAAGGGGTTGCTATGAGTCAGAATCTACTGAACGACAGTGATTTTTTTTTTTTTGCCTGACCCATATCAGTATTTGGATTCAGCTCCAAATTTAAAATTCCCTTTATCCTTTGAGAAGGTCTGCAACGTGATTTGCAACTTTAAGTTAGTAACATTTCTAGTTTGAATGATATTTCTCATAAGCTGGATGCATAAAACAAATAGCCAATTTTTATAGTGAACTAAAGATAGAATTGGAAAAGAACCTGGAAAGAATGTGTTTTTTTGGTCTTTATCTGAAATGTTTCTTATGTGTTAATACTGACTGCTCTAAACTTCCTTTGCACAGCTATGGATGCATGTATGCTTGGTACACACCAGTGCCAGCATGTATGTATCAGTGATGGGAAAGGCAATCACCACTGTGAGTGTAGCCAAGGATATACCTTGAATGCTGATAAAAAAACGTGTTCAGGTGAGGCCTTGCTTAGGGGATGGTGGTTGAATAGAAGTTATTTGGGAGATGTATTCTCCAGGTTTTGCACTGGGTTTATGCTTGCCTCTCAACCCCCCACCCCCACCCCCTGTTTTTTAGTGGTTTTTTGCTTATTGCTATGATACTAAACAGATTTCAGTGGAGCTTCCAGACTAAGACTAGGAAGAAAGGACAGTGATAGTCTGTTTTGTCTGAGATATTTTGGCTTTGTTGTACTTATACTTAATCGGTGATTGTACATTGGGGTGCCCCACCCCAGTTTTTTTTTTTTTTTTTTAACCTAACTTCTTTTGGCTGGTTTATTGTTGTTCCTCAACAATTTTTCTGGAAAAGGAATATGGGGAGAAAAGTGAGATAATGCATAGCTCAATCTGTTATGCTGCTTATTATTCCTAGTCTTAAGGAAAAGGATTAGTAGGGAAGAGGCCCTTTTGAGGATTTGAAATTTGATCTGAATTGTATTTAATTAGCTACAAGCTATCCCTTCCTCTTTCTTACCATAGATGCTCACAGAATCTAGAAGTCGAATAAAATTTGAAAGGTCTTCATTTATTTATATTTAGTATGTGAATATTCATACAAAGTCAATGAGAATTAGGTCCATTTTTTCAAATTCAAGAAAAAAAAATTGAGGGGAAGAACATTTAGAGATCACTGAATCCAATGCATTTACTTCATAGATAATGATATTGAGACCCAAAGAGAGGGCAAGTCTTACCCATGTAACTGGACCTGTTAGTGAAAGAACCAAGACTAGGTATCTAGTTGCCAGCTCCTAGTCCAGTCCTCTCTGTTTTGTGCTCTACTGCTCCACAAGTCATTAGCAGTGTTTGTATGTGTGTGAGTGAGTGTGTAAGCAGTGAGGCCAGTAATTACCCTGTTCTCCATGTGCTCATATATTACCGAATCATCTTTTGGTAGCTATTGACAAGTGTGCTCTTAACAATCATGGATGTGAACATATCTGTGTGAATGACAGAACTGGCTATTATCACTGTGAGTGCTACGAAGGTTATATTTTGAATGAAGACAGAAAATCTTGTTCAGGTAAGTGAGGAGGAATCTTTACTATTGCTCCTATCTATCTACCTGCCTATCCAGTGTGGATGGGCAGGTCACATTGGGAAACTTGGTCTGTTTTCCTCTTTTGCCACCCTTAGGCTTCTTCCATTTCTAAGTCTTAGTAGACAAGGTACAAATGGTGGCATGTATGTATCATGGCTCAAATGTGTCAATGTGTCATTCATTTCCTTCGTAGTATCCAGCCCTAAAAGTCCTTCTCAAATGCTAAGAACAATTTAGAAAGTTAAAACCAAATAACACCCCACAGGTAGTTATTACTTTCAAAGGAAAAATCAGTAACTTTATAGTGGAGAAATCTGACAGACACCACCTTAATCAAAGTTAACATAGTGACATCATGTATCTACTAACACGATGTACTGAGGATAAAACAGCACTTGACAGACCAAGTTAAATGATGTGATGGAAAAAAACACAAAAAGCATAACCTGAATTGAATCATGAGGAAACATCAGACAAACTCAAATTGAGACACACTACAAAATAATTTTCCAGTACATTTAAAAAAAAAAAAAATTAAGGAAATATCTTTCCTAATTTGAAGGAGACTAAGGAAACATGACAACTTAATGCAATGTGTGATTCTAGTTTGGATCATGGACCAGAAAATGCACAATTGTGGAATAAATGGCAAAATTGGAATAAGGAAGGCCTATAGAATAGTTAGTCATGTTATATCATTGTTAATTTTTGGTTCTGATATTTTATGCTATGGTTAGGTAAGATTTGGGGAGTTTGGGGAAACTGGGTAAAGCACAAGAAGTTACTGTATTATTTTTGCATCTTTTTCATAAGTCTGAAATTATTTCAAAATGAAAAGTTTAAAAATTAAAAAAAAAAAAGTTTTAAAAAATGTCATATCCATACGGAGGAAAGTGCACTGAGTGAACATTTAGGCCTTGAGTTCTAATGCTAATTCTGAGTCAGTTTCTCCTTTGGACTTATTTCCTTCATTTATAATAGGAAAGGATTGAATTATAATTTCTTCAAACTCTATGTTTTTCTGAATCTAGTGTAATTAGTAACACAACTGTTGACGTCCTGATTTGGGATAAATACAATGAACTTAAAAGGAATTTTTTTTTAAGTACTTATGAGATGTTGTTGTTGTAGTTATGTGCCGTCGAGTCGGACCCAACTCATAGCGACCCCTCCTTGGGTTGCTGAGGCAGTATCACTACAGAAGTAGATTGCCCAAACCTTCCTTCCGAGCAGTGGCTGGTGGGTTTGAACCGCTAGCCTTCTGGTTAGCAGTCAAGTGCCTTAGGCACTATGCTACCAGAGCTCCTCACTTATGAGATAGTTATATCATAAAAATTCCACACTGATGATTTTCAGAAGGAGTTAGAGAAAACAACAGAATAAGTATTGCATGTGTAGAATTTTGTTTAACTTAGCTAACTTCTGTTGTTGTTAGCTGCCATCGCCTTGATTCTGCCTCATGATGACCCCATATGTGAAAAGTGGAACTGGTTCATAAGGTGTTCAAGGCTGTAACCTTTCGGAAGCAGATTGCCAGGCCTGTTTTCAGATGTGCTTGTGGATGGGTTTGAATCATCAACGTTTTGGTTAGCAGCTAAGTGCTTAATATTTGTGCCACTCAGAAAGCTCTAGCTGACCTGTAGTGAGAGCAAATTGTACTGATGGATTTGAATCATTTCAAGTAGGTATTCCTCCTATATATTTCTAGTGGCATATTAAAAGATATCTATAGGTGAGTAATAAAACACTTTTCCATTTTTTATTTGTTTTCTCCTGGACTTTTGTGTGATAGCTCAAGATAAATGTGCTTTTGGTACACATGGGTGTCAGCACATTTGTGTGAGTGACAGAGCTGGGTCCCATCACTGTGAATGCTATGAGGGCTACACTCTGAATGAAGACAAAAAAACATGTTCAGGTAAGGTCCAGTCAACAAATTCTTTTATACTTGGCTTTTTCTATTGCAGTGAAACCAACTCTCAATTCACCAAAAAAGAGAGGTTCTTAAAGGTAATTTAAAGACTCAGGTTCAGGCATTCTACTATGCTTACAGGTTAAACCATACATTGCACAGAAACCAGTGAACTAATTAGATTTTACAAAAGTTGATCCTTCCAGAAAGTTAATGGAAATGCATAGGGAGCTGGGGATGCAAAAAGCTAATTGAGTGTAGGGTCCTTATCCAAGAAAATTTTATAGCTCTGTACACTGGGGACTTTTAAAGCAAATAGGAAACTTCCCAGAAGTCAATTGGACAGTAACTATTTGGTGTGATAGGCTGAACTGATCTTTTTCCAGTTAAAACTTGGCCTGGAACTTTTCTGTAATGTTAATCTTAAAGCTGAACTGTTTTAGTAAAGGGGGCTTTGTCAGTGACTAAATTGGACCCACACATATCTTCCAGTAAGTTTGAAGCAAGTTGTTCCTTGACAGTTTCTAGATGATCAGTCGTCAGTGAATCTGAGCCTTATGAAGGACTTGGCTAATGAGCCCACACCAGCACTGCTGATCCTCATTAATTTGATTTAAACTCACTGGCAGAACAGGGTAGCATTTATAATGAAAAACACTTCTAAGAGATATTTCTAACTTTCAAAGTGGTGTTTTGTTTTGGCTTCTTCAATATGTTTCAGATTTATGTATATTTTTATCTCCCTTGAGGAACTATGTGAGTTTTTTCAAGAAACATTAAAGGAAATGGCATATCATCAATTCTCTTTTATGTAAAATGAAATCAATAAAAGAGTACTGAGCACCTATTTCATTCTCAGGACCATGGTAAGCAGTGTGGGGATATAAAGTAGCATATGTTTCTGCCTTGAAGCAAACTTATAGCCTGGATGGAAAGAGTACCAATACCTCAAGAAAGCAGAGAATGAGTAGCCAATGAGAGGGACTGACAGAACTCAGAAACCATGCAAGTGAGAAGGCAATGGGATGGTATATATAAAACCCTGAAAGAGAAAAAATTTTCAACCAAGAATTATATATCTGGCAAAATTGTCCCTCAAATATAATGGTGAAATTAGGAGATTTCCAGATAAGCAGAAACTAAGGGAATTTGTTAAAACCAGACCA